CAGCAGGGGTGATCTTTCGAGCCTCGACCTCGAAAAGTGTCCACACTCTCTGCACTGAACAAGCAAAGCACCACCTAAACCATAAAACCCTATAAACCCCAAAAGGCCCCTTACTCCCACATATCCCAACCCAGAGACCCACAAGCCACGAACCCCAAGCCCTCAACTCTCAACTCCCCAAAGGGCTTGGGGTTTAGGGCCTAAACTGCTAAACCCCTAAACCCCAAAACCCCCAAACCCCTAAACCCCTAAACCCCTAAACCCCGTAAACCCCTGAGCCCCCAAACCCCGTAAACCCAACCACCTAAACCCCGTAAACCCCTAAGCTCCCAAACCCCCAAACCCTAAACCCCTAAACCCCGTAAACCCCTAACCCCTAAACCCAGTAAACCCCTAACCCCTAAACCCCGTAAACCCCTAAGCCCCCAAACCCCCAAACCCCTAAACCCCTAAACCCCGTAAACCCCGTAAACCCCAAACCCCTAAACCCCTAAACCCCTAAACCCCTAAACCTTAAAACGCTAAAACCCTAAACCCTAAACCCTAAACCCCTAAACCCTAAACCCCTAAACACCTAAACCCCCAAACCCCCAAAAAAACCCTAAAACCCGAATCCACAGGCCTTGGCGGCCACTTCCGACGGCACTTCTTCGGCCGTGGCCGCGGCGGCTGGGCCGCTCAAAGCAGCTCCTGCTGCTGCTCTCCCGGCCTGTTTTAGGCTGTATGCTTTAAGGGTTTAGGGTTTAGGGTTTAGAGGTTTAGGGGTTTAGGGTTTTAGGGTTTGGGGTTTAGGGCTTAGGGTTGAGGAGTTTAGGGGTTTAGGGTTTAGGGGGTTTAGGGTTGGAGGTTTAGGGGTTTAGGGTTGGGGGTTTAGTGGTTTAGGGTTTAGGGTTTTGGGGTTTAGGCGTGGAGGGGTTTAGGGTTTAATATGACGAAGTTTGTTCAATCTGTCTGGCTTTTGATCAGAGATTCGGTTCAGGACCTAAGGCTGTGTTTCCTCGGGGGAAGAATAGGAGTTTAGGATGTTGCCCTTGATAATGCAGGACTCGGATCACGGTCATAGCAGGCAGACCCACAACACCGACATTACAAAAAATGGCACGAAGCTATTGAAATCAAAGAGCAACCATCCACACACCCGAACACGCAAAAAACCCAAACCCCTGAAAAGCAGAAACTGCGGAACCCCCAATCCCTGAACCCTAAATCCTATACACCCTTATATAGTTCAACCCTCATCTCTAAAATCCAGTAATGTGGACAGCTCTCTATATTAGAGTCCCTTTTGGGGTCCCTTTTTGTACGGGTGCCGTATTATATTGGGGACCTAAACAGGGACCCTAATTTAGGAAACTATATACCCATGTCCAAAACCCCTAAACCCTAAATCCTAAAACCCTAATTTAGGAAGTCGACCCTAGACCCTCGAAGCCCTAGACCCCAAAGGCGCCTGTGTTGCGGCAAGCTCGGCAGCCCGCCGCGGACCTAGCCCCGCAGCTTCCGCAGCCTGTGCTTAGGCTTTAGGGTTAGGGCTTATAGGGTTTATGGTTTAGGGTTTAGGGTCAGGGTTTAGGGTTTAAAGGGTTTAGGGCTTATAGGGTTTAGGGTTCAGGGTTCAAGGTTTAGGGTTTAGGGTTTAGGATTTCGGTTTCAGGATGAAGATTTAGGATTGAAGGCTTGGCGTTATTCGGGGTGTACGGTGTAGTAGTTTAGGGGTTTGTTAATTTTTAGGGTAGAGGGTTTAGGTTGGAGGTATTTCGGGGTTTCCGTGCCTTTCAAGATTTAGATTCTGACTTTTGCTGCCTCAGGATTCAGGGGCTCAGGCGAGGTTAGGAAACCCTATAAACCCTAAACCGTGAACCCTGAACCCTAACCCTAAACCCTGAACCCTGAACTCTAAACCCTGAACTCTAAACCCTAAACCCTGAACCCTAAACCCTGCTTTTGAAATTGAGATCCTTCAAATCATCTGCTGGTATGTCTTGTGCTGGGACCCTGTTTTCGTCGCATTGATTTCTACAATTAGCAACTTGCTGAACCCTGTACAAGCAACCTCGTTAACACCCTACTTCGGGCCTATGGCCCTGAACCCTGTAATCCTAAACCCTAATAAACCCTCACGCCGACAGAACCCTAAACCACAAGACCCCAATCTGGAACCGCTGCACACAAACCCTTGGAGTAACCTTTTCAACAAGGCTTTGAAATGTAAAGCAGCCCTCTCAAGAAGAGCCCGCTTTGAAGGGAAGAACCTCTTGACGTAATCCTGAAAATAGGGCCCCAAGAAAATTAAGATATCCCATATAAAACCCCCTTATAATGAAGCCCAACAAGGTAGGGATATCCCTACAAAAATGCTGATGCTTATGTCCTTTTTGGGACTCCTAAGAAAAAAACAAACCCGCGGGCTGCGCCTTCGCGGCGGCCCGGCCGGCTGCCTCAGCGACAGCCTCCACGTCGGCTCCTGCGCTTCTCATGCTTGGGCTGTCTTTAACCCTATGCTTCCAGGGACCTAATTACTGGGTCCTTAAGGGGCCTAGGGCCCTAACCATAAGGTCCTCGGAAGCAATAGGGTAAGGGGCTCCTTTAAGAGGATTGCTTTAACAGGGTTCAGTGAAGAGGATAAGGTTAAAAGGGCTCCTTTCAAGAGGAATGCTTTAAAGGTCTTAGTTGAAGAGGACTACTTGACAAGGGCTCGTTTCTGTCCAAGGGTCTTTTGAAAGGGTGACTTCAAAAGGGGTCTTTAGGCTTGTTTGAAGGTTACGTTAAGGCTTTGCAGATGGGCTTACTTATACCGAAATTTAGAGGCCTAGAAGTTAGGGTTTAGGGTTCAGGGCTCCGGGGTAAGGGTTTCTGTGATCACTTACTTAGGGCTCTGCGATGTAGAGCTTCGGACCTCCAGGGTGGGGGGGTTTTGGGGGCTTGGGGTTCCTAAGGTTTTCTTTTTGGGTTTAGGGCTTAGGATTCCTAAGAGCTTCTTTTCGGGTTTAGGGCTTAGGGGGCGCTTTTTTTGGCATTGAGCCATTAAGTGCCCCCTTTTTCCCATCCGCCACAGGCTTAGCAGGTGGGGTGAGACTTAGGGGCTTGGGGGTGGGAGGCTGAAGGGCTGCATTAGGGTTTAGGGTTTAGGGGTTAAGGTTTAGGGTTTAGGATTTAGGGTTTAAGGTTTATATTAGGGTTTAGGGTTTGGGGTTTAAGGTTTAGGGTTTAGGATTTAAGGTTTAAGGTTTATATTAGGGTTTAGGGTTTGGGGTTTAAGGTTTAGGGTTTAGGGGTTAAGGTTTAGGGTTTGGGATTTAAGGTTTAAGGTGTATATTAGGGTTTAGGGTTTAGGGTTTAGGGCTTAGGGAAGACATCTTAAGAGAGGTTTCTAAGGTGTCGGGCTTCCAACTACTGCCGTTCTAAAGCCCCATCTTTTGCTAATTCCCAGGCCCTTTAGGGCCGGCCCATGGGCCAGGTTCTGTAGGATTTTGCAGGGGGTCTGAGAAATTTTCGGTTAAGATTTTAACCCTCAGACCTAAGCTTTAGGGTTTGGGTTTAGGGTTTAGGGTTGACCCTCAGCCCTAAACCTAAAATCCTGACGAAGTAAGGGTCCCTTGAAGAATAGGCTCAGGAAAACCTAACTAAGTGGCAGGATGTCCTGTGATGCCTTTTGTGGTACCTGTTGCATTGAACCGCCACCGCCACCACAACCACCGTCTCAACCACTGGTAAGTCCTCCGCCACCTCTAAACACTAAGTCGTAATCGCTCCCAAATTCTAAAATTCTAGCTATCTAACCCTAAACCCCCTAAACCCCCTAAACCCCTAAACCCCCTAAACCCCCTAAACACTAAACCCTAAACCGGTTTGAGCAGCGGGCCTCTTTTTCTGGCCAAGCGGCGCATGGAGAACATGGGCTTCTCGTCTCGACGAGGCCCCAAAATGACGAGGGGTCCTAGAAGTGGCCTTGTAGGGCTCCTATAGGTGTACCCATAGGCCCCTAAGTAGTTCCTTTTGGGGGTTTAGGGTTTAGGGTTTATTGAGGGTTTAAAGGCTACCCATAGGCCCCTAAGTAGTTCCTTTTTGGGGTTTAGGGTTTAGGGTTTAGGATTTAGGGTTTATTTAGGGTTTAAAGGCTACCCATAGGCCCCTAAGTAGTTCCTGGTTCATATTTAGAATAAGGTAAGCCCAAAAAGGAACTACTAAGGAGCCTATGAGTAGGGCTGAAGGCTGATTCAGAGGGCTTGGGGTTTTCGGGGGTTTGGGGTTTGAGAGTAATTATGGGTTGCGGGGTGTGGATTTTAAGCTTGCAGACAAGAGCCTCCCACGTTTGAGGGAAGCTAAACCCTAAACCCTAAACCGTAGCACTTCTCAGATCACTCAGTCACAGTCTTGCAGTCGCCAACTAGCGTCGTTGCGGAAAATTGTGTCTGAAAACTGCATGCGCCGGTCAAGGGAATGGAAGTAGATGGTGCCATTGCAGTGGCAAAGGTAGTATCCAGGTTGTGCCAGGCTCTCCAGCGTCACGCTGTCCTGGCATCAGAGTTGCAGTGGATGTCGAAACGCAATATACACTATTGAAGCTACACAGTAAGATCCCTGCTTTCAGGAAAAGGCACCTCTCATTTTCTGAAATCACAAATCACAAATCGTCGAGCATTCGCAAGCTTTTAGCATCACATCCATCACCTACACTCACCCTGAAAAGATGACTGCCTGATGAGCACAGCCTGTCAAGTGAAGCCAGTCGTCTGTGCACTATGTATGTACATACACTTATTACATGAATAACGTACATTACAGTACAGTAAATTGCATCGCAGTACTGAACATTGCGTTGGAATGCGTTACAGTACATACATAATTACATACATCAGACAGACAGACAGACAGCCAGCCAGACAGGCAGACAGACAGACAGACAGACAGACAGACATACATTACATACATTACCTTGGATTGCGTTACATTACATACGTAACTATATACGTACATACATACATGCATACATGCATACATGCATACATGCATACATGCATACATGCATACATGCATACATACATACATACATACATACATACATACATACATACAATGCATTTATTCACGCCCTTCCAGTATTAGATGTTCCGCATGTGAAAACTCTGCCCAGCTTGAGCTTTGCAGCCTCAGCTTGGAACGCTAGGCTGAGGGATTTATAGTTTTGGGTTTAGGGATGTTTAAGGATTTAGGGTTTACGGTTTCCGTTAACCTTCAGAAGGTTCGTAACCCTGAATCCTAAATACTAAACCCGCAGAAGGTTCGTCCTCTTCGCCGTTCAATGCAGGAATTTCGCGGAACACCTCCCGCTGGCCGTTGCCTTCCAGCAGCTTGCCATGTCCATCCTGGCTCTTAACTCTGGGGTTTAGGGCTTTAGGGTTTTTGGATTTTAGGGTTTTTGGGCTTTAGGTTTTATGGTTTTTGGGCTTTAGGGTTTTTGGGCTTTAGGTTTTAGGGTTTTTGGGCTTTAGGGCTTTTGGGCTTTAGGGTTTAGGGCTTTAGGGCTTTAGGGTTTAGGGCTTTGGGGTTTAGGGCTTTAGGGCTTTATTGTGAGCCTCTCTGACCCGAGTTTTATGGTAGGGTCTAAGGAGTTTAAGGATATAGGGTTCAGGGTTATAGGGTTTAGGGTGTAGGGTTATAGGGTTTGGGGTCCAGGGTGTAGGGTCTATAGGGTTTAGAGTTTAGGGATTCTATACGTCCTAAACCACCCACCCTGTGTAATTACCCTCAGCATCCGACTCATGCTTCTCTCTTGACAGGCATTCAAAAACGGATCCTAGTTGCTGGCAGTTAACCAAACACACATTCCGTGAAACGCGATCTGTCCTGAGCGTAGCCCTAAACCCCAAACCCCAAATTCTAAACCATAAAAGCCTAAAACCCTAAACCCCCAACCCCCAAACCCTAAAACCCGAAACCCCCAACCCCAAGCCGTCAAATCCCTGAAGCTGCACAGAAAGCAATCTCGCAGCGCTCAAGGCAACTCTACGGAAATAGATCCAAGATTTAGGGTCTACGGTTTAAGGGTTTCGGGTTTATAAGGGGTTTAGGGGTCTATAGGGTTTGGGGTTGATAGGGTTCAGCACCCCCAAGTCCGAATTTGTCGAGCTAAGTTGCTTCAATTTAAGCCCCTTCGCCTCCCCCTCCAGACCCGAACCCCTAAACCAAAAGCCCTAAAGCCTATAAATCCTTAACTCTAAACCCCAAAGCCTGAACCCCAGACCCAAAAAAGGGCACAACTCTGCGAGTCTAGTCTCCGCATTGCAAATGCAGAGACCCGGCTGACTCTCGGACTCGAACTTCACTCCCTCGGCAAGGACGTGCATGACCCAGGAAGTCTCATCCTCTTCAGGGCGGGATTAGGGTCTGGGGTTTAGGGTGGTTTAGTTCAGGAATTTAGGGGTTGGGATTTGGAGGTTTGCAATTTGGAGTTTGAGTCAGGGGCGGTCCTTACTTCCTGGGCTTGAGGACTGTTTGAATGATCAGCAGCAGATTCTGGGATCATGCGCAGTAAATTTCGCATAGGGCCACAAGTTTGCTACATCCAGTTAAAGTACGTATAAACCCTCATCCTGCAACTCCAAACTTGAAAGTGTCGGGTATCGAGATTACTGTTAAACCCCCAAACCCTAAACCCTAAACCTGAAGCCTAAACCCGCCAGATTCATTAGAAGTGGAGTTCGGTTGCATGCTCTTAGTGTCCCCTTCCCTACAGTTTCTATGGGTTCTACCTATGATTTAAGGGGTAATGGCTCTGCTAAACTGCAGGTCACTACCCAAATAGCCCTCCTCAACCCTGAAGCCAAACCCTGCGCCCAACGCCCCTTTCATGAATGATGGTGTCGTGTGATAAGTTTGGCTGGGTACTCAGTATATAGTGCAGATGCACAGAACTTTCCTTAATAATTGAGGGGAATAAGCCCTGAACCCTGAACCCTTATGTGATGGGCTTAGCCAGCCTTGGCGTTGCGGAGCGTGTCGCCAGCACTTGCCGCCGAAGAGAGGCCGCACCCGTCTTTGTAATTATCCTGGGTTTAGGGTTTAGGGTTTTAGGGGCTATACAGGAATTAAGTCAAGTCTAATCAAGTCACCGGTTATCATAATCTGGCAACCCTATGATTCACTATAGACCCCAATTATGGCAACTGAAAAAGATGACCCTATACCCTAAACCCTAAAACCCCAAAGCCCTAAAACGCTAAAACCCTAAAAACCTGAAACCCTAAACCCTACAACTTAAAAGCCTAAAACCCTAAAAGCCTAAAGCCCCCTAAAACCCTAAACATGAGCCCAGAATCAGCGCGGCCGCCTCGCCATGCCAAGCTCTGGAAGCGGACGCGGCGAACCTTCCGAGGCTTCTGGGGTTTAGGGGTTTAGGGCTTTGGGTTTGAGGATTGGGGGTTTAGGGTTTAGGGTTTAGGGGTTTAGGGCTTTAGGTTTGAGGAATGGGGGTTTAGGGTTTAGGGTTGAGGGCTTCTGGGGTTCAGGCTTTGGGGCTTCTGGGGTTTAGGCTTCGGGGCTTCTGGGGTTTAGGGTTTTAGGTTTGAGGATTGGGGGTTCTAGGCTTATGGCTTTAGGGTCTAGGGGTTTGGGGTTTGGGGTTTCAGGGTTTTAGGGATCGGGTCTGTGGTTTTAGGGTCTATAGGGGTTCGGAGGTAGGGTTTAAGGCTTGCGGGGTTCAGGTGTTCTGCTTTTGGGGGGATATGGGAACATTATGCGCGTAGGGATGGGGCTGGAGGTTTAGAACAGTTTGCGGTAGCTGCCGGGAGGACCTGAATGTTTGCCCGATTCGGCTTGAGGGCTTTCTTTTTTTGGGTGCAGAGCTTTGGCTTTTGCTAGAGTGTGCTGGGTGGAAAAGCTGTTGAACCTACCATTGTTGGCCAAAAGAGGCTTTCCAATGAAGCTTTTTCTGCTGTCATGGACCATTCACCTGGTTTTCAGTTGGGGGCCATGTTAAAAATGATTTTGAATCCTTATTAGGGTTTTAATATAACAAAAATGTAGACTTGTATCCAACAAGGACCCAGTTAACATCTTGTGCTAGCGGGCAAGCACGAAGATCGGGGCTAGAGCATGCCATGCACAATGGCGTGGTGTTTCGCGCGTAGCAGCGTCATTCTTACTTATAGTCAACCTACGGCTTTTCGGGGTGTAGGCCAAAACCCTAAACTGCTGAACCCCTAAACCTCTAAACCCCTAAACTGCCCTAAAACCCTAAACCCTGAACCCCTAAACTTGTGGCTCAGACTCCAAGGGACATTGACCCGAACGAAGGTGAGCTCCGTGTCCCCTTCGAGCATCTCCCCCAAAGGCATCAGGTCCGGCTGTAACGTCTCGCTGCCGCGGATGAGTTTCAAGGCCACTGAGGTCCCCCCAACCTCCGGAGAGGAAGGCGTTAAGGGCTCCTTTGAGGCCGTTAAGGGGATCTACATGGCTTCTATCGTGTTTAGGGTGAAGTATATGCTTTGGCCCCTTAAAAAGTACCTATATGGGTACTTTTTTAAGGCCAGAGCATATACTATTTCGGTACATGGCCCCTACGGCTTTCTAGAGGGCGTTGGGTGGTTCAGGGTGTCTTCAGAATGACGGGTCAGCACCTCAAGGGCTCCAAAAGGTGATAGCTGTAACCACCCGCAACAACCTAAATCAAGAAGCAAGACGACATATAACACATATGAATTTTGGAGTAGTTTCGCGCAGCTGCGATTTCAAGTTCGTGGCAGTAAACACCTAAACATCGCAGACAGGAAGCGGGATTAGTGCATGCATTCCCTCTAGCTTGCCTTTTTGTGGCCTTTGCAAACCCTAAACCCTCAACCGTGTTCTCAAAGCTTTGTGGCCCTAAACCCCAAACCCTAAACCCTGCATCGTTAGGTTGGGACTGCGAAAGAAGCTTATGGGGCTCAGGGAGTCCCACCCAAATCTTCTACAACCCTAAATCCGAAACCGAGCTCCCTGGAGGGTTCAGGGTATAGTTTTTTCTTTTTTTAAGGGGCCTTCTAAGAACTGCACGATGCGAGCGCCTCCAACTCTTTCGAGCAGGCAACGGGGTCACATTGAACCCCCATCTCGGCAACATGGAATAAAACCCTCAACCTTGTGGCAATCTGGGTGGTTTAGGATTTAGGGTATAGGGTCTAGGGTTTAGCATTTAGGGTTTAGGGTGTGGGATTTAGGGTTCCTCGAACATCAAAATCTTGCAACCCCAAACCCGAGACGCCTGTCCTCTAAACCCCGAGAAGCAATAGTAGTTATTTATTGGTACCATCCTTTAATCCAAACTGTTACTACTCTTGTTATTGTTCCTGCTTTTTCTTATGGTTCTCATTGTCCGTATTAGTGCCATTCTTAGTACTATTCCTGTGGTTCTTCTTATCATCTTTGGTCTCTCATAGCGCCTCCTCTGTAAGAACTAAACCCTACAACCCTAAACCCTACACCCTAAACCCTAAACTAAACCCTACACCCTGAACCCTAGCGCCTCCTCTGCAAGGGCCTTCTTCAGCCCCAGGAGAGTCGTGGATGGAAGCAGCTCGCGCTTGAAAACCTTGAGGATGGCGAGGAAGCAAAGGAAAGCAAGGTCGATAGACTTTATGTATGCATGCATGTATGCATGTATGTGCATGTGTGCATGGCTGTCTGTATGTATGTATGTGCGTAGGTATGTATGTATGGATGGATGGATGTAATGTAATGTAATGCAATGTTATGTAATGCTATGTTAGGTTATGTCATGTTATGTATGCAGGTATTTATGTACCTACGTTGGAGGCATGCGGGATCTGATCTATGCAGTGGGTTCTTTGGGCTGATGCTGGGAGGCCACTGTGCAACGATCCGGACAAGATGTGAAACTCATGTTCAGGAGGGATCCATGAACAGCATGCCACAAAGGTTGAACCCCCAAAACCTCAGTCCTACACCTTCGCGACCGTTCGACGTTTCTCCCCATATCGAAGAGACATCTCATCTCTGACGACTCACACCCAAAATTGAAAAAAAGGCCTTGTAAGCCTCACACCGACATCCCTGAAAGCTAAACTCTCACTCCCTAGGCCCTAAAACCCAAATCCTAGATTCCGGCCAACTCCCGGAAAACCCCGCTCCGCCTCCTCTCCACTCATGTTGAGGATCGAGACATTCAGAGGCGGCATCGCCTCCCGCCTCTCTCCCGCATCACCTGCTTCGGTTGCTGGGTTCCAAAGCTTTCAGTAGGTTCCTCAACCCGAACCTTAGGGACGAAATGAACCCTAAAAGGGTTTAAGGTTCATAAGCCATATATAGGGATTCATAGTATAAGGCTATAGGTCCCCCACTTTTAAGGGTCATTTCGTCCTTAAGGAAGTGATAAACCCTAAAGCGCAAATCTGCAGCCCAGGATGGCGCTGAGGGCAGTGGTTTTCCCCTAAACCCTAAACCCTAGGTTTAGGGTTTAGGGTTTAGGGCCTACCATCACCAAGCACGCTGCGAGTCGGTAGTCGGAATCATCTCTTCCCCAGAGGGTTCATGACTACCCTTATGGGGTTAGGTCCCCAAAACCATGTTAGGGATGGTCTTGTGGGCTCTAATTCCACTCTGGTAGTATGTATGGACCCTCTGGGTTCATAATTCGTAGAGCCAAAGGGCGAAAATGAGGGGGCCCCTTCCTGAAAGAATGCCACCCTGAAGGCACCTAAGCTCGGCACCGCTGAGCCCTACTAAACCCGAAATGGTTTGGACCTTTTTTCGTTAAAATAGGGCTTTGGGGGATGTTGTGCTATACATAACTTCTTCGAGGCGGAAAAATTTCGTCTCCAAACCCTACATCCGAAACCGGTCGAAGCCCACAGGTCTAGATGCACTACACCCTAAAGCCCCTAAAGCCCTAAGCCCACCCGACAAAGACGCCCAAGAACCCCACAAGCAGCAAACACCCCAAAGATCTTCACCCCATGCCCTACACCCTAAACCCTAAAGCACTAAACTTCACTAAACCCACCGAAATCCCACTACACCCCATGCCCTACACCCTAAACCCTAAACTTTACTAAACCCCACCGAAATCCCTGGCAGGTCCGGCCTTTTGAGGTTTTACCTCCCATGGCTCCCACGAAGCTTCGATCCAAGGCTATGGAAACAAATGCATGAACAGGAAACAAGGTTAAAGGAAACTGCAGGTGGGGAGTTTAGGGTATACTGGGCTTCTATAAGGCTTCTATAAGGTATATACACCTTCTATCATGCTTCTATAACGGTAACTACCCACCTGAAAATGTCCTAGACAAGGAGGCTTAGGGCAAGTTTCGCGTTAGGGCTACTATAGCGGTGCTATAAGAGTTTAGGGCAAGTTGAAGGCTACCATGAGGGTACCCTGAAGGTCGATAGGGTTGCAACAAGGGTAAGTACCAGGACGAAACAAATGGAGGAAGATTCAAGGGCTTATTGGGGGTCTGGGGCGGCGGTTCTACCATGTCTCTGCAGAACCTGTTGACGGTTTTTTGTTTGACTACAGGTCTTGGGGCATAGGGTGGAGGGTTTCTTTCAACCCAACCCTGAACAAAATCCTAGAAACTCCCAGTTTTTAGAGTTTAGGGCAGTTTAGGGTTTAGGGGTTTAGGGTTTAGGGTTTAGCCCAAGAGCCCGCCCTCAAACCTCAGCCCCACGACCTAACCTTTCACAACCCTAAGCCCTCGGCCCCAAGACCCTAAACCTCTAACCCGGAAACCCCCCCAAAGAACCCAAAACAAAGATCCCCCAAAAACCCCCAAAGACCCTAAACCCTAAACCCCCAAACCCCCAAAAGATCCCTAAACCCTAAACCCCCAAACCCCCTAAACCCTAAAGCCCCCAAAGACCCCAAAAGACCCCTAAACCCTAAACCCCCAACCCCCCTAAAACCCTAAACCCCGAAAGACCCAAACCCTAAACTCCCAAAAAAACACCAAAAAGCCCACAAAAACCACCAAAAACCACCAAACCCTAAACCCCCAAACCCCCCAAAGACCCCAAGTGGTCCCTGCGCCATCCGCCGGGAGCTCGCGGCCGCAGCCGCTGCAGAGGCCGCCAGGGCTCCAGCCGCTTCCGAAGTGAGACCTCGGCCTTATAGGGGTGCCTTAAAGGGGTTCCTTCTCCTTTAGAGGGATGCTTTAAGGGTTCCTTTAAGGGTTGCTTTAAGGCTTTTTTGAAAAAGGGTTTCTTCAATGGGGTGCCTTTTAGGGGTTCCTTTAAGGGGTGCCTTTAAAGGGGTTCTCCTTGAAAGGGGCTCCTTTAAAGGGTGCTCCTTTAAGGGGTGTCTTTAAGGTTTTTTTTTAAAGGGGTTTCTTTAATGGGGTGCCTTTTAAGACGGGGTTCTCCTTTGAAGGGTTCT